GTGTGCAAAAGTCGATTATTCGCTGACATTTGCTCGTCAAGGCTTTCTCGAAAACGATTGTGAACTAGGGGATTTGCTGTATGGGAGTTTTTCTTCATTACGACGCTACTTTGCAATTAGTGGCGGCGATGTCGGTGCCGTCTAGCCGACCGCAGGTTCCCTCTGTCGATCGCGTGCGCGTTAACCGGTGCGTTGTAATACTGACCACATCTGTTCCACAACATTTGCAGTGGTGAACCTCCGTCCGTCCGTGGCATCCATCCCTTCCTCGTCGAGCACCTCTGAAACCACTCGCATCTTCCTAATCATTCTTATTACAAAATATGCCCCTTATTTGCCAAAAATATTTCAAGCAATCACATTATGCCGTAGTCATATCTCCGCTTTTCATATACTATTTTTTGAAAAGGGTTACTCTCCACCTAGAAAGAATGGCAATCCATTACCCGTACGAATTTTTGCTGTAATTCTAGACGTAGAAAAACCACCGAAAGAGCGTTGTATCAAAAATAGATGTTGCGTTGCCCGTAATTTTCTTGCAGTTCAAACGCGCTATTTTACGGCTTGTGGTATGAGGCAATAGAGCTACGGTAGGAATTTAGGCTTGCAAGGTTTTACTTTTAATGAGAGCCGGTTCAAACTTTGTTTTGTATTACAGCTACACGGTATGTTTTCAATTATTCGGAAAACTTTAGGAATTCTGCTAACCTAACCTGGTTTTTTTTTTCGAAATTCGGATTTAACTTTCTTACTGTGACCCAAGCATTCCATTCGAATTAAAGACTGCAATTACATCGTTTTTGATATCTGCTTCCTATTCGATAATTTACACAGTTACGGCATTACTTTACTTATAATTATTGTTAGAGTAATGCCAACCAAGCCTTCCTCAGTCCGGGGTTGGTTAATTGGTACCACATTCGTCTGGGAGGATAAAAGCACTGACTTGTACATCGATTGGCCCCCTTCAAGTTGTTGTATGGGGCACATGCGCATTCAATACGCCACTACGATTCGAATGGAAGTCGAATGCGGGGCCCATCCGTCAGACGGGATTGATTAAAAGGAGTTATCCTTTATTGTTAGATTTTCTACTTTAATTGTGGGATCGAGACCACGACAATAATCCACTACTACGACAGTGCCATTTTAACAAGCAGTAAACCGTATTATAAGTAACTTTATGTATTTTTTATTCTCTCTCTGACTGAACGTTTGAACACTAAGATACTTTCTATTGATTTTTACGTCATTCATTTCATTCGATAAAGAATAATATATGTGTTTCCGTCACATCGGTAATGACAGTAGTTTTTTTCGACACCCGGTGGAAGACCCCGATATAAATCGTCTCGTCTCGCTTCCCCAAGCATATGTAGATTTTATCTCAGTGGAACAGAGTCGTGAAAATCAAATGCTCTAGTTTTCGAGTTTTTAGTGTGAGAGCGTGTCAGAGTGTGGTTTTACATCAGTTGAAAGCCCATTGAATCTACTGGCCAGAGTGGATACTAGCAGAAGTTGGCAAAATGCCACGGACGGGACCTCTAGCTTTGGTTGGCTTCTTCCATCCTTGAGTCCACGTTAGGTAGTTTTCTTTTGTTAACATTTTTTCATTCAACAGCTACCCTAAAACAAAGAATTAGATAGCGGTCAAATTTTGTCTCCATCTAGGATTGTAAAAAGTTTGAACTACTTACTATTAATTTTATACTCAACTTTTGAATGGGCACATTCATAGAAGGTGCGTTTTTACGCTACGCAAAAATGCGCCTACTATGAATGCACCCAGTGAACCTGTTGTTGTGCACGATTATCGATCCACGTACGATCTTTCTGTACGTTCGTTGCAGCACGATATCGAGGGTGGAAAATACTTCACACTTCGGCTGTATTGCAACCACGAACAAGTAATTTTTTATTCGTATAAGTTTAAGAAAATGGGACCTGCGCCGGGGCCCGGAAGCTATAAATANCTTTAGGTAGTTTCCTTTTGTTGACATTTTTTCATACAACAGCTACCCTAAAACGCAAGGAAGCTAGATACTAGTCAGATTTTGTCCCCATCTAAGGTTGTCAGAAGTTTGAACATAATTCTCTACTCAACTTTCTAATGGGCACATTCATTGAAGGTGCGATTTTACGCACCGCAAAAATGCGCCTACTATGAATGCACCCAGTGAACCTGTTGTTGTGCACGATTATCGATCGGCATACGATTTTTCTGTACGTCCGTTGTAGCACGATGTCGAGAGTGGAAACTATTCGGCTGGTTTGCAGCCAACAAGTAATTTTTATTCATATAGGTTGAAAACATTGTGGCCTGCGTCGCAGCCCGGAAGCCATAAATACTAGAATTTCATCGTTTTCAATCGTCGATTCGGACATGAGTTTAGTTCCTACGTGCACTAAATATAGGTGGAACCATATTGTTATATTTAGTACTGTTAAACGAGTTCAGGAAGTGAAGAGTCACGGTCGATACTTGCGTGACTGCTTTTTCTCGGCTCGGCATCTCATTCTTTTGCTTAGCTTGTTCAGTCCCGTTGCCTGTCGACATGCAGTATGCCTACTTTTTTCACATAGGAAAGGGCATTTGTCAAGGGAGCTTGTTAAATTTTATGCCAGAAGGTGTTCAGGAGCTTGTTGTGAGAAGCAGGTTGGACAGCTCCCTTCTGTTAAACTTCTGTCAAAGAGTTGGCTCGCCGTTTTCCTGAATAAGTTGTTCTGAAGGTTATTTATAACCCTCACTTTTGTGGTAATTGGCATGGTTGCTCGGAAACCGAAGGTGGATTACGTAGAAAGGGAAAATGGCTGAAAGAGGAGCCTCGTAATTCACTTGACGGGCAAAGTTTGCCATCGAACGGGTGGAAAAGTCCATCAGACAGAGTTGGACGGCTCAACTAAGTTGGTGATTGTGTGGAAGGAAATTTCTGTAGAAAGTGGGAACAGAACTTGTCTTTCAGTAAAATTCAGCAGCGAAAGCGAACAGCAATGCTGCGGAAGAGAGCGCTTCCTATGTTCCACTAGAAAGGTCGGCAACAAATGTGCCAAGTTTAATGCGCTATAAATAATGCGCTCTCACGCTTATCAACGTGTTTATGGCCTAGCTTATACCCCTGCTTATTTGTGTTTATCTATAGGTTCGTTTTATTTTCTTTTTGTAATCTATGATTATTTGACCTTTCTCCAGCGGCAAGAGGACCCTAGCGCACCGTTGGTCCCCTCAGCTCGGACCTAACGCTGAGAGATTCTTAATTTTGTCCTGACCATGCTTTTTTCTCCTTTAAATTTACTTTTGCTGTCGATAACCGTCGGTTTACTCAAGTTGTTCTATGATTCATTTGTACTACTTACTCATACTGCACTTTGGGTATACTTCCCGTTTTAATTCCTTGCCCTAGTATGGGTTACCTTACACTTTTTTGCCTTTCTGCTGCTGACGCTCATTGAGCGCATACTAAAAATAATAAATAGATTATGCCTAACAGTCCTTGGAGATTACTTTGGTCAGATTTTCAAAGTTGGCTATTTCTCCATGTCTTCCATCCGAGTGCTAATGCTTTTTATGACCCTTGAAATGTTCCGCGCAACGCGGAGAACGTCGAGCGCGAAGCATTGCCGTAAACAAAACCTCAATCCTTTCAAACCGCTGTTCGTCAATATGTCCTGGCGGCCGTTAAGTACTTCTCGCAGAAACTGACATTCCAACCAATTCTTGTATGCTTTCAGATACTGTCGTGAAGCTGGTTTGACAAGCGTCCATGTCGCTGAGCAGTAGTCAAGGCCGGGCAACGCCGGCAGAGTTGTCATCGAAGCGAAGCAGTCGGAAGGAGTTAATCGACCATTCCTTGTATCCTCCTTTTTTGAAGCAGGTATTGATCCTTATTTTTTTTGTGGTGCTGTTCATTTGGGCCGTTCCCTATGACTCATTGAATGTGTAAATTGATCAAGTACATCACGTACAAATATATAAGTCACTATCCTCATTCATTGCTCACTCACCATACTGGATTCGATCGATCTTCATATCTTTGTTGCGAAATTGCCGGTTGCACGGCGTACTTTTTGAGGCCATCCATTGTTACTGTATTTTACTAATTCGATATTCTCACGAAACCCCGCAATTATTACAGGCCTTTCTGTGCATAAGATAGCCGCCGAGCTTTCAAGTTTTGAGAAATAACAATTTTTTACTTATTTTTTCTACCTTATTAATGCCACCATTTCAGATGGATGCAAAATTACCGGGCTATATCAGGGAAGGTGACATAGAGTATCCATTTGAAGAGACAAATGGAGTAGGTGATGAAAACCGTATCCGCGGTAATTGGAGCACGAAAACGGATTACATGTTGGCGGCTGTAGGATTCACCTTTGGAATAGGTAAGCGAGTCAGAATGAAAATTATCTCATTTTTTTACTCAAGTGAGATGATCCTTTTTTCAAACAAATATTTCACCTTTTACTTTTATAATTCGGATCTGTAGACAGACAATTGAACAAAATAATTCATCTTAACACAGCAATATCATATATGAAATTTGGGTCTCCATGATATTGCTCTTCAAAGATGAAGGTTTTCTTCAGTTGTCGTGTTTTCGTGATTGAGTGCCTGCTTGGTTACCGTGGTAGAAGCTGCATTCGGAGTCCTGGAAATGTGAGACCCTCATCATGAGACCCTCACGAGATCTCTTGTGTATTACTGAGTTTATTGTTTTCTTGAGCTTTTGACGAGGTTTGTAAGTAAGATCTATTAGGTTGACATCTCGGTGGAATCGCCTTCTTTTTATGATCATTTCAAGCTCTTAAAAATGCGGTTCCGCAAAACAGCTTAATGAAGCCTATTTACAAACCACGTGAAGAGTTCAAGTTCAATGAACTCAGATTATACCGAGGTTCATAAAAATCAGTACTTGGTTCTCTCGTGTATGTTTTTTCTTGTTTTTGGAATATTTTGATTTACTTGACATCCTAGTCACCTACCGACTTGTTTTCCTACATTTTCATTTGCATAGTTTATCAGTGCCTTCTATCGTTATTAAGCGAACTTGAACATATGTTTCTTAGTTCATTTTGAGGGCAGAGAATAAATTCACTCTAAAGAAAGTGTTTTGAACTCATATTGAATATTCAAATAAGAATGAAATTTCTGGGTGTGGACCATTTCGTTTAATACACATTAGTTTTAAAAAACTTTCCGGATAGAATGCATGCATTGACGCTAGCGCGATATGAGAAGCTGTGAGAAGTGTTTTCTCTAGCTAAAGATCATATTTCAGGTAATCTCTGGCGATTTCCATTCCTTATTTTTCAACATGGCGGAGTAGCCTTCTTTATTCCTTACCTGATAGTTCTTGTAATCGCTGCGCTGCCCATGTTTTTTATGGAAATCGTACTCGGACAATTTTCTTCTTTAGCCGCTATTTCCGTTTGGAATGTGGTTCCGCTATTCAAAGGTATCTACGAAAAAATTTCTTTTAGCTTCCTTTAAGCCCACGAACATACACGCAATGCTCGAATTTCTTTTCAAAATAAATTTTATTTCAGGCGTCGGTGTAGCTATGGTATTAATATCGTGCATAATTGCAATTTATCTGAACATCGTCTCCGCGTGGTCTCTATTTTACTTCATTAATTCCATCAGCTTCTCGTTACCTTGGTCGAACTGTGAGAACTCTTGGAGTGGCTTGAGTGAGTGTTCTATTTGGCTGCAGCTTTTCTTTGTGGTAAATGGGCATGAACATACATTGAATTTGAATATGGACAAGAGATTTTTTGTTTTTCATGTAAAAAAATTCTGTTTGAAGCCTCTCATTCACTAGCTGTTCGGTGAGACCGATGGAGCACGTGCGATGTCTAGCTTTATAAGGATTTCTCTCTATTAGGAATGTAATACAAGCGCTTCATGTCTGCACTGTATTAGGCTAAATAAAGGGCTTTGTTTGAGCCGCCAATGTACAGCTACTACATGCCTGACATATGAATTGACTCGCCTCATTTCCCTGATTCCATCTTGCAGATGTCCCTTCCACAACCTTATGGTGTTTGGAAAACTTGTTAATGTATTTCAGACTGCTCTCTTGGCACGCGTATCTCTTGCACCGAAGCGAACGGTACCCTCCTTCTCAATGGTTCATGTGTGATACAGGTCGCGATATTATCACTATTTCTTTCTGTTTCTCTAAAATTCGTTACTCTGATAATTTTGAGATGATGCAGTGGATGGGAAATTTTCCATGAATTTGAACCAATTGTTGAATTCTTTGGTTTCCGTTTGGGTACAGGCATCGATGATATTTTCTTCCGAGAAAGGGAAGTATCATAGCATACCAGCCGTTTCAAGCGCTTGATAAATTGTTTTCTTGGTTTGGTGAATTTGGCATAGAAGCTGAATTAAGGAGGCGTTTCATGAATATTTATGAGCGCTCTTTTCTTCCCTAACACAAAGAAGTAGTGAATCTACTATTGACTTTGACTGCATGGGTGTTGGAAAATATCGCTTTTTCTCCAGTATATGCATCCAAAATCTCATGTTTGATTACGATCTTGCCTTTTAGAACGCTAACACAACCGTGGTTATATCTGGAACTAATCCGCAGTCTATACCAAGTCTTCGATACTTTCAGTAAGTTGCGAAAACTTCTGTTTCCCTGCAATTTTAAAATCTTTTTCTTTCACAGCATAAGGTTTGACAACTCCATTTCAGTGAAGACGTTTTGATGTTGTCGACAGGATTCACTGATATCGGCACACTTAATTGGTATCTAGGGATATGTGTGCTATTGTCATGGGTAGCTGTATTTCTCTGCCTTTTTCAAGGTGTGAAATCAAGCGGAAAGGTATTTTTGTTCTGAATATTCTCTCTTAAGTTCCCATGTTTAATTTTTACTTTTTGACAAACTTGAAATTTCACATTGTCGCCTATTTAGGTTGTATACGTTGTAGTAGTACTGCCATTCATAATAATGACTGTACTACTTGCTCGATTACTAACGCTCGAAGGATCATTCGCCGCTCTCGCACATTTTCTTTATCCCGATTGGCGGGCGCTTAAAAATCTTACGGTACATTGCTTATTGGAGCTCCTCGGATTGCATTTGTTAACTTTTTAAGGCTACAAATTTACAGGTGTGGGGTGAAGCTGCAGTACACGCATTTTATTCAGTTGCTTGCTGTACAGGAGGTCTATACACGACCTCAAGTTACAATCGGTTTCATAACAATCTGTTTAAGTAAGTTCTTCTGATCTCTTCTATTTTTTACCTTCTTGAATTTACTGTACTTTCTTGCTTTTCCTTTATCTGCTCGAAAGTTTTTGAGCTTTTACATGCTAACCTATCTGCTTTAATATTGATGTTTGTTCAGGGATCTATGGGTGATCCTTACTGTTGATGTTATAACGTCAGTTATATGTTGTGTACTCACTTTTTCTGCAATCGGTTTTACATGCTTCGAATTTTCTATCTCACTAGAAAAGTTTCATATTCGGGGTTGGCTTTTATCATTTCTCCTTTTATTTAGTTTTTTTTTCTTTTTTTTTGGCAGTGGAAATCCTTCATTCAAGTAGCTATCGATTTAGATGGAGCTCACCTCGTTTTCGTATTTCTGGCGGAAGCCTTAGCCGGTGTTCCAGTAGCACCACTGTACACTGGTCTTTTCTTTTTGATGGTGGTGCTAATCATTCACTCTACGCAGTTATTCGTTGTGAGTTTTTTTTCGTCGCTACGCTCTTTGTCGTTATCAGACTCTTTGATAGCGTTCGTTCACATTTGTGGGCGTTCAACGATATGCTAATTATTTGAATTGAGTAGGCCTTATAAATTTGTCGCGAGTAACGAAAATAAGGTTCACAGATTTTCTTTTCCCAACGTTTTTTTGTTGCTCGATTCAATTTCATTGACAAACCCTTCTGAATGATCTGGATGTCTTTATCATGAAGAAAAAAACGTGCAAGAATATCTAACTGAAAAAGATTTCTCTGTGATGCAATTGTTTTAAAGTCTTATGCAAAATTCAGGATTTGATAAAAATCAAGCCTTGCACTTATTATCCCACCTCTCCTCTTTGGCTCCCCTTATCGTCCTTTTTTAAATCAGCGAATAAAAACTTTGTCTTCAGCGTGTTTAGATGAAAAGAGGGAAGCAAGAAAGGGGCTAAGTGAAACAGGCAAAGCATTATTGCTTCGCCTAAAGTCAGCAATTCATCCAGTTACAGCATAAATTCTTTTGAATTCAGGTGGAAACAATTGTTACGTCGCTGTGTGATGAGTTTCCAGAACGTCTGCGACGCAATAGACGTCATGTCCTAACGACTGTATGCGCAGCCTTTATGGTGCTTAGCATACCATTTTGTTTGTCGGTGAGTGGTCATCGTTACATACATGCTTATTTCCGGTTGAACGTTTCATTTTGTCGAAACAGTAATGCTTGATTTTTTTATTGAGCAGTTTGCATTTTTTTTTTGCTTTCTGATGGCATCATCGGCTCTTCGTCTGGCGGGATTAGTTGATTCTCGCGAACTGCTCTCAAATATCCTTTCGGAAATTTTACTTTGATGTTTCGTTTCCATGCAGAATTGCGAAGCGTTTAGTGGTAGATCATTACGTATGATACTAAAGACATTGGGTTTAACATGAGATTGGTGTAGCAAGCTGCATGATGAAGATCTAAGCGTTTTTTTAAGTGGTCTGTTTTGCTATTTTGTAGATGCCGTGATCCAGTTATGATTCAATTAGTGTGTGCTCTGTTAGAACCAAGTTTCTCTATTGAGGTATCGTGCCCCTGCCTCTGATTGTTGGATCATTTAGTACCAGTATTTTTAGCTGCGATCTGAATATGCAGTCGTTAACCCTTGTCGCTGACAATCATTCTGATTGGACAGCTCATTTTTTCTTCCTCTTTTCGAAAGTAGTCGCGCCATCGTCCCATCAGTCACATCTGGACTGAGCTTTACAAAACCAACGGCCTGCTACGGTCTTTGCCCGAGTATTTTTTTCTTCGAGTTGCTTCATAAGGCTGAGAATCTCCCATAAGAGTGAAATAAAGAGCGCTCTTCAGACGCTTCTTGAGTTGTTGAGTTTACCGTGAGGGTTAATGATGTTTGTACTGGCTGGTCGTTCTGGGTATCGCGAAGTCCTGATTTTCTCGCGAGGATCGGCTAGTTGCAGACGTTTGCAATAACTTCAGTAGTTGTACTCTTAGAAGTCTGTGCCAACATGTCTTGCCCTCTCGGTCTTTTACTTTCGCTTAACCTTTGTTTTGGGAGCTCGAGCAGAAATACTGCCGCCGTTTAACTACAGAGCTGTTCTGGGGACATACGCCAATGAAAGCACCTCTGGTACACACAATTTTTCCCTAACCCATGTTTTTTGACGCCACGAATGGTTCCTTTTCGGTTCCTCCTTTTGGTCATGTAACTTATAGCCTTGGAAGTCCTTAAATCCGAAGACGAGGGCAATACCTGTACTGGGGAATGGATTAGTGCAAGTTTCATCGACAGCCACTGGAGAGCGAATAAGTCAATAGAAGAGCCTTATTGCTAGTCAACGGTGTGCCATATCTTCGAAGACAGGTCCAGGAAACCGAGGCCGCGGGTATCTGCATTATAGCTCTATGAGGAATCAAAAGTGAAGTATTTCTGTGATTGCATTAATTTTCTTTATCATGTTCGTATGATGAGTGCATTGTATTTCAGGCAGGACTGTTTTGGCTGTTGTTGCTGGCCAAATTCACGATAACATGGCCATTAGTGGTGATTGCTTTCTTGGAATGCATGGCAATCAGCTGGGTGAGTTGTTTTATTCATCTCACATTTTATACCTTTCGGGAGATTTTCCACCCCACGTGGAGTATATTACGATGTTAATTATGGACTTCGCATTAGTTTCTTCAATGTGTAGTTCCGAGAGTGCGATTTTACAGGTTTACGGTGTAGACAATCTTCTTGACAACATAAAATGGATGACCGGTTCCTACCCACCATGCTACATCTTTTGGAAGATTCTTTGGAAATTCATTTGTCCGATGACATATCTGGTAAGTGATATCAGTTCCATCAGCATCAGTTGTGATTTCTGTTTAATGAGGGTGTCAATCGTACAGTTGGTGGAAATGGCTGTCACCGATTATTGTCACCGATAGTTCTACGGATAAATTATGAGACTACGGCGCAGTGGATGACAGCGGGTAAATGCGCATGGCCTGAGTCGCGCCCGGGGATCATTTATATCACTTTTTATGGCACAAGTTCATGCGTTCGCATAAAACAAGTTTCGTAATATCTGAACTTCAAAAGCACCGCTGGACAATTGCAGGGTGTTCAGTGCGGGTTTCCTTACGAACTAGGTCTGAGGCCAACAATGCTTGGAGCGCCCAGTGAGAAATTGAAAAAAACCGTTATGGCTTCTATTTTGTTTCAAAGATATTCTCGGTCTTGATCGAATTGGCATAACAATCGGATAGAATTTTCGATCTGGTTTATGAAACGGTCTGCAGTAGGTGCACCAGTTTTAGGTTCACTTTTTGTTTATCGATGAGGAGGCCACTTCAATGGAAAGTAGCTCGCTTTCATTTCCACAGTTAATATTCCTATGTTGTCAAGTTGCTCCTTGGTCTAGTCTTTGTAATTTGGGTGCTGTCCCTGATAGTGACGTTACATTCCGAAAGAAACAGTCTGGGTAAACACGTCACAGGCGAAAACAAGTGGCAACGTCAATGACCACAGAACGACAATTGGGTAGAGTGTGGTTCCCAGGTGCCTTTGTCCTTTCTCTGTTGCACTTTTGATGATATCAGTAGTCTTCTTTGTTCAACCTCTTGATGGCCTACTTCTAGACCACTGACAACAGTACTATCTCTTGTTGTTTACAAAGCGATTGCCTTTTTATAAGTGGCTTACTTGTTGGCTAGAGTCTGCTCATGTAAAGTTCTCACTCCTAGAGTTTTCTGCTCATGTAGGGAGTCTTTGTTGACGGGGCACCGCTGTGTTGGAAATGTGCGGATATTGTATGTTGTTTGTTTACCTGTGGTCCTAGACGTCATCGCTGTTCCTCAAAATGAAAAGCTCCGCGACAGATGCTTCTAAAATGTGACATCCGAGTAATATACAAAAACATGTTTGCAGAGACGATGTAGAGATCTCTTGGAAATTACGTTAGGTCATTGTTTGGCTGAGGGTGGAATCTATTTGTTCTTGTATCACACATTCCTTCAAATATTCTCACATTTTGCAAATGACGTTCGAATACATGGCTCATCCGAAAGGGGTCGTAAATTGCAACTTGTTCTTTGTTCAATCTTCTTTGCTTTGGTGTAAAAGAACTCTCGTATTGATTTCCACAGTGTACTTGAATCGCCCGGAAACCAGACGTTTACTTNTCCTAGACGTCATCGCTGTTCCTCAAAATGAAAAGCTCCACGACAGATGCTTCTAAAATGTGACATCCGCGTAATATACAAAAACATGTTTACAGAGGCGATGTAGAGATCTCTTGGAAATTACGTTAGGTCATTGTTTGGCTGAGGGTGGAATCTATTTGTTCTTGTAGCACACATTCCTTCAAATTTCTCACATTTTGCAAATGACGTTCGAGTACATGGCTCATCCGCAAGGGGTCGTTAATTGCAACTAGTTCTTTGTTCTTTGCTTTGGTGTAAAAGAACTCTCGTATTGATTTCCACAGTGTACTTGAATCGCCCGGAAACCAGACGTTTACTTTGCTCTCTTCTCTCGTCTGGCTGTTAAAAACATTCCTATCCACCGCGTTACATTCAGCGGTACCCAGTGAGTTCCTTCACAGCTTTCCTCAATTGCAGTATCGAAGCTTTGTAAAACAGCAATTTATTTGAAAATTTTCGTTGGTATTCTATTGCATTGGGTTGACGAGGTATAAGTCGTTATTGCTATTTTTGTAACGCCCACCATTTTCCTTTCTAGAATTTGAGTGAATGAAAATTAAACTTGTAATCGAAATTGATTTCCTTTTTACTAATTGTATTACTTTCTCGAAAAGGAATCATTTCTGGGTATACGAGTGTTACAATGCCTAGAGTCAGGTTGTAATTGTTGATAATGGCCACACAGTTGTCTTCTAATATCCCACATGTTGGGCTGTTCTGAAAATTCTTAAACACCTGTGAGCATTTTCGTCTTTTTTGCTTATTTCATTACAATGCTGCGCAACGACGTGGATTCAGGGTTTCTCCTCCGCCGTTTTTATTTGAACCTTTTTCAGTCTATACTTTGCTTCTTGTGGTTGGACTGGCATTCGATATCGTACGAATCCTATATCTTCCCCTATTGGACATCGCTGCTCGGATGGGCAATCAGTGTGTTTCCGCTGTTGTTCGTACCAATAGTGGCAGTCATNCAAATTTGTACTGCAAGAGGATCACTGTCGCAGGTTCGTGGAAAAAGTGCTTTCATGCTTACTCAATTTTTTTGTCGCTTTGTTCACTTATCATTCTCACTTGTTTTCTCATTAAAATTGTCCTCTTTATTCTCAAATGTCTTTTAAAATAGCTTTAAAAGATCGATATTTTTATCATGCCTTTTTTATCTTTTATCCCTCAAAGCCTGGCTTGATCTGAGCTCTCTGACTCTTTTTCATCTCTATCATGGTTGCTACCCGAATATTCATCCAATCAATTTTTTCCTAAATAGTCGCTTGCCTACGGTTGAGAGAGCATGAAACATTGAGAATTTCCTTTCCGTTGTTGTAATCCACTCGATTGACAGGACACTCGACGGAGTTTCCTCTAGTGCGTGACTTCTGTAGTCATGCAGAACTCCGATTTCTAAATTTTACAAAATCACGTCTTGTATCATCTGAAATTGTCAATAAAGGTCAACTCGACCTCTTTTCATTCAGATCAGTTGTTTCAGAAGTGGGCCAGTGTGTTGAATCCGGACGACTCGTGGGGACCAGCTTTAGCGGTCCATAGAGCCGAGCAATTCCCACTTCAAATTCCTGAAGCTCGTCGCCTTCTTATTTCTCCGGAAGTAGAGGTTGTCGGAAGTCGTACTGGGGTAAGTTCGTGGATTTACAATTTACAAACATTCAAGAGTGCCCTTAGAGCCGTACGCATTTACGNTTTTTTCTCACTGTTTTGCCTAGGTCATTTCTGCAATTCAACTCTCTTTCGTCAGCCATCTGCTTTCGTAATCGCTTGAAATTTAATGCTGAAAGCATTTTCCATACAAAAAATGGAGCGCGTCGATCCCATCCTTTCTATTATCCAGTCGCGCTCTATTGCACCATTCGAAACAGTTGCTTTCGAATTACAGCCTCCACTTGCACTCTCATGTGGTTGACTACACTTTGTTATGGACTTGCTCCGCAGAAGCCCTTTATTTCGGACGATGTAGTAGTTGCATAATAATTGTCGGTTTATACTTTGTTCTGTATCAGTTTTTCCCAACTTCCATGCTTTCTTCGGCAGGGTTATAATATGACGCCAAATATTTTGGAGGGATCAACTACTACAACTTACTTTTGAAAAGATTCTTGGTGACATCTTTCTTATTTGTATGTTTTTTATATGATCACAGCTCATGTCCCGAGCTCAAGCTCAACTTTCACTATCGCAGTACATTCGTTGCCAGCCGTGTTTGTCTACGCTACCGAAAGCTTTCCCTAACTGCCCCAGCGATTATAGGCTACCGGAATTCTTAGGGGCTTATATGAAAGGAAAATCATAAGTTTATAATATCCTCTCACCAACTGATCTCTAAAATACGGTTGCGCAATGTACGCGATAGTGTGCAGTGATCGTGTGGTCCAAAAATGAGTAATTTACAGTTGCTAATATTTAGTTGACTGAAGAGAAAGACGGTGTTCTACCAGAAGCACAACGTGATGAAGGTCGTACGATGAGCACAGGTGCATCGGGAAGGGCGAGAAGTGCAGCGCCTACAATCAATAGTTTGTGTGCTACATTTGAACGGGAAACAGCTATTTAATAGCTTTCTGTTAGTCAGTTGTTTTTTTGTTTACTCCTCTCTGTAATACTGCTGTATACGACTGTACCGGTCTAGTCATTAATCCTTTTCTTTCCTGCTCACCTTTCTCTATTCTATCCTATATGTGCACAGTGCTGTTACTTATATCATAAGGCTACTGGTAGCGTTTTGGGGTTTGATTAAGCGTGTGGTAATTTTATCTTGTATTTTGTTCTAATTGCTCAAATGTATTTGCAAAAGTTTACTCGGTACCTTTTCAAGTATCATTAGCTTTTCTGTACCCTAAAAATTCAAAATTACTCAAAATTACCAGTCACATAACAGTTTTTCACAGCTTTCCCTTCAGTGCAGTCGTGCATTGTGCAAAATTTCAAAAAATCGGATATCTTGCTTTAATCACTCTATATTTATTTTTCTTTTCCGTTTTACCTCATAGATATTTTTAATTTCTGAAAATGAAATTGGCCCATTAAATATGAGCTTCATTAACTTTTGTATCTCTTCTGTATTATCATTTTCTATGCAATACAATTTGTTATTTACGTTTACCGTCAAGGTAAACATCTTCTCGCGGTAGCTCTTTCTTTCTTAATGTTCGCTTGAACTCTCGGTATACTAAATTGCGTCAAACTAGTCATGGAGGGTTGGTTTGTAGTCCAAATCAGCCTTGCATCTCTCACATCGCTGGACCTTGTCGGGATTTAGCATATCGAACCTCTTTGTGTTTTTATTGATATGGTTTATTTAAGTTAATTAGGACATCGAAGGATAGTTTTCATCGGTGGGAATGATCATAATTGCTGCGCAGTTTTGTTTGAGAGATGAGCCATGCTTTCAGCTAATAGAGAAGTTTGGAAACCTGGTGTCGTGTAGGGTAAGTGCTTCTCAATTCGGTTGGACTCCCTCAGATTAAGAACTTACTGATGAGGTGATCACGACTTATATTCAATGTATTCACCCTCGTCTGTTGTTATTGTTTATTCCTGAGGATGGGATCACCGATGTATGATCAGTGATTGATTATTTCTAACCCCAGTTTTGCACCAGAATACTTTTCTTGCCCAGCTGGCGCCGCTCGCAAACCGTCCAGTAAATTAATCAAAACAACTTTTTATCGATGAAAACTGTCCTTTCTTGGCACATTGTTATGGTCGTTCAGTAATGTGTCTTTCTTTCAAATCCAGTATTTTTCATCCTCGTGCCAGTATTCTTTGTAGTTAAAATTTTAATAATTGAACTAATGTTTATCCCGTTGTATATTGACATTTTGAAGTTGAATTTCTATGCTTTCTCTGGCTCTCATTAATCATATTTTACCTTTTGCTCAACGTTGATTATTGGCCTTCAAGGTATGATGTTTTTATGGAAGTGTTGTGGTTATCAGTTTTCTGTATGACTTTATTTGTGCCACAGTTGTGTTTTCACTGTTCTTTTTCCTAAGTACCAATGCGATAGGTCATACGATTGGTAAGGACGACATACATCAACCGCTCTTGTCAATTAATTTGTAGCCACACCATCAGCTACACACGGGTGGTGGATGTATTTCGTCCAATAGTGCACTCAGTTCCAATGTTGCCCATGTTGCATGACCCAATTTGTCATTTTCTTCTCAAAATGTTTTAGTCGTTACGTGAATGATCTTAGTTTTGTATAAAGATAAAAAAGCTTTAGATCCTGTTTCTATGCCTAAAATGTCTTAACGCATGGGTATTTCTACAGAAGTCACTTGATGTAGATATATTGATAGTGACGATATACTATTGTTTATTGATTCTTTGACAATATACAGAATAGAAACTGCGCAGAAAAGGCACTCCAATCACGGAGGTTCATCGTCTGCCTTTCAACAATGTCGTCTTCTCCCTCGCTTTCTTCGGAATGGCAGGAGCTCGCAAAGGAGCTCTCGAAAATGGAGGTGCGTTCAGGTTGAATATAAGTCCGAATTTACTTGAAATTTGAGTATTTTTTGTGGCAAACATTTTTTGACTGCCATTGCGAACACTGCCTTTTTGTCCCAACTGCTTTGAGTTCTCGACTGTTTCTTTGACCACACTGAATGAAAAAAACTAGTTCCCAACCAGTCTCTTTTAAGGAAGTGGTTTGATAATTCTGATTTTCTAACTCATTAACCTTAGCCATCCTGAATGTGGAAGGAGAAAGACAGCAAGAGATGTTTGTGAGAGAAGTTTTCACTCCTATAAAAACTATATGTATTTGAGGTTTTTTCGTATCTCTTCCAACGTAGTATTCTTTCTTAATTGGAACATTTCAAGCTTCTCACATTTCTTGCTTCCTTTTGATTTTTGGGCAAATAAAGTTATTATACAAATTCAGGATGTTCATCATGAGTATATGAAGAAATTATCGGAGCTTTCGAAGATACAAGCATCATGTCTCAAAACAATAAAACATCAACATTACATTATGGGTAATTTCAAGGACACTTTAAAAAAGTTTGTTCCTTTTCGCAAGTTAGCCATCTTCGTTTTGTTTGGATTTTTATGCCCTTCAGTTTTGTTTACAGTTTTCTGTTCATTGCACGTACACAAATAGAAATACAAAACCATAAACCGTCTGCTTAAGAGCCGAAATCAATGCTACCACTGCTGACGAAAAAGGAGTTGTCGAGAATATTCGAAAAGAAATGACTGATGTTCGAGCGAAGTTGAAATCAATGGAATCTGAATTGCCTGTGCAAAACAACGGATTTTATCTTTCACTCATTTTAGGTCAGGCGTTTTGATTTGTTTTTTTATTCCATTGTATTAATTCATGCATATTCAGGAAAGAATCTCAATTTGTCCTTGTTAACCAAGGATGACAAGTATAAATACAAAACGGTGCGTTACCCATTATTTTCTGATTTTTATCTAAAGCCATCACCGAAACCATCGTTGTTCGGTTCACATTTTAGGATTACGAGCTGTTCAAATGGAAAGTGACTCTGGCAATTTTCGTTGTTGTTATTCTTTCCTACCTCTTTCCATGGAGAGTGATGGATTCCATCTGCAATTTTCTCATGGTTTGGTACGTCCATTTCTGATCATGTATTATTATTACGTTATCGTTTTATGGTCAATATGTTTTTGAGCTAATAGTAAACCCTCAGCAAATCAGCCATCGCTCTACATTTATTTTTTTATGTGATAGTTCTGCTTGGATAATGTTGAACTGCCTCTTTTTTGTTGTTTTTTGTCAGTTTCTTTGCTGTTTAACTGTTAACCAACAGATGTAGATGCTCACCACTGTACTACCCAAGTTCCCCTGTATTCCAAAGGAATGCATATATTCTTTCTTAGTATATAGCATATATTTTCTAAAAGTTTTCGGCATATCTTCTTATACTATGCTTCAGGTATTACTGTACACTGACCATTCGTGAAAGCATCCTCAGAATTAACGGATCTCGGTGGGTTCTTTGGCTACGCTTCTGTTCCACTTTCAGTTTCTCGTTCAGGTTCTTTCATCACCCCGGAAATTGTATCTTTGCTATTCTAGAATCAAAGGCTGGTGGGTGGCGCATCATTACTTGTCCTGCGTTCTTTCCGGCATTGTGTTAACATGGAGAGATGGGGAATGCTATCAAACGTTCCGTCACCAATTCCTACTGTTCGTGTTCTACATAGCATTTTTGCAGCTGCTTCAGGTATTTTTGTTATTGTTAAATTTTTACATTTTAATCGAATTTCATGCAATTAATTGCGTCCAGGCTTCGAATAATCACATAGTATCTGACATAATGGTCTTTTTACTGAAAGTCATGCCATATATATAAAGGCTGATAAATTAGCCTTTATACCTGTGTTCGGTTCAGTTTTTGATGCTTTAGTTTTTGATGCGATTTTGAATTTATTCGATTATGTTTCGACGCAATTCGACTTATTACCGTAACTTGCACGTGCCAGCTGGTGTGCTGGTCAGAGCTGCTGACATTTCTCCCTCCTTCCCCATGTTAATTCACAGTTTGCCTAAACTGTGTGAGTTTCGTTCAGAAACTTGATTGGAGTGGCCATTCTACTACCACTGTTCGCAAAAGAGTTTAAAAGATGAGTAAGCAAGGGAGAAAGGGTATTGGAATCATGATTTCTCGGCTTGGTCTCGATTATTGCACGAATTTTTAAAACATTAAAATTGAGTAGTTCAAATTCAAATTCAAGGCTGTTCGGTCTCATTTCAGTCACAATATCAATCCGGCTGTCTGCGACGGCTTCATGCCCTCGGCCAAGGACATCAAATGGACATCACTGTTGAAGGATTCAAGAGTTTCATGTTCAAAGGGCTCACCTTTTTGTTACCATTTCTAGTGGCTGGCTATGTGAGTTCCTTGGAGTACAGAAGTAGAACGAGGAACTCGAACTTATCCCTTGCAACCCATTGCCATCAATGAAAGGTTATTTTTTTTCAGTTCTTTCAACTCTACAATGCCTATACTCTCTGGTACTTATCTTATGATTGTGAAGGACAATGGCAGGTATGTCTGTTTTGCTACTTGATCTTAATAGCTAATTCTGCCGCAGTTTTTCTTTGTTGCAATAATGATAGGGCAACTTCAATTTCTCCTTTCATGTTCAAGTGTAGAATTCTATTTTTCGAAAGCGAGTAGTTTTATAATTTCTGAGCCTGAGTGTTTTATAGTCTGAGCGTTGCGTGACTGCGTTTATAGTCTAAGCCTCGGCGTCCGTACTATGGACGCAGCCAGTTCCTTGAATTTGCTATAAATTGATCATGAAACTCATTTTCGTTCCATCATCTCGTACATACTCCTAGGTATTTGCGCTCTGCTGTATGTTCTTCGTTCTGGCCGTCGGTAATATCACAACGACAACTTTGGTGATTCTGAAGAAGCTTCATACTTCGAGCTCCTATAACTACGTGGTGGGAGTCAAAACCAAATATCGGCCAGGCGAAGTCGTTAAGGAGGAATGAATGTCCAAGCTGTTGTTTAACGGTGAGGTGTGAAGGGCGCAGGAAGAAAAATGTTCAGGAGTTTGAAGAAAGGTTACTTCTTTGAAGCTGCTGTTGTATATTTGTCTGACCTAAATAAGGTTTTGAAGAACAAGTGACATTGACAACAGAAACTTATTTGTTAGTGGTTTCTGAGTGTGTTTTACTTTTTTACAGCTCTTCCCGTCTGAGTGTTAGAAATATTTTGTTGTCAGTTTGTATGTAGTTAGTTACTTGTAGCATTAGGCCTTTGACCGTTTTGAGATTGTTTGTTGGTATATTACTTTTGTCGAAATCTTGTATGCTCCTCCTTCTAAGGTAGCTCCGGTGTGACTCAATCCCTGTGCTCTTCGTTCTATGCGTGAAATCGCCAAACATCACGTTTTGATTTGTAATAGGTTCTTATGATTTCTATTTTCAGCCTTAATTCTCGGTGGCATTTATTCGGTGTTATGTCACGGTTCAAACGCGAATTGCATTTGTTTTACTTAAGAGTTGTCGTTTATTTCCTTGTGATGTAGACTTTGGTTACTTTTTTTTGTTCAAGATTGTATTTAAGCTACAGTTTTACGAGTTGGTGACTTAAATACGTTATAGACTAGATGAGAGACGTTAAATTTGTTTGATTCAATGAGATACTACACATTTATGTGTAAAGCGGAACTAATGACTTTCAGAAGAAAAAGTTTTGAAGGTGTTTTGGAAACACCGTAAGTTATAAGAGTACTTTGGTTCAGAGCGAGGCCGATGGGCATAATTTTTGCTTTGATTTTGTGATGAAAGGTTCAGATGCCCGCTGTTTCAAAATTCTCGAAAATCCGCTGCAGGCTGGTAAGCGTAATTCTTCATACAGTCTGTTTCAATTCATCAATGAATTTTGAGTTAAGATGTGTTACTTACGGTTTTTGGGAGTCATTTATTCTTTCCACTTTTCATTGTGACAAAGCTAAACATTTCGGGCTCTAAATATTGCATTCCGCAGAGACGAAAATCCTTAGGGTAGTTGTCGATCTGGGGTTCGATCTCTGGACGATGCGTGTGTGATAATGTACCTTCTGCGATTAATTAGACTTTTTCACGTTTTTGCTGAAGCGTCACTGAGTTAGTAGTGAGACATTCAGCCTGAAACGATTCGGGTCGGCTCCTTTCTTTTCTGGCACCAGTCTGTCCATTACACACCGAGAGCGCTAAAGCGACGATCTGAAGCATAGTGCCTTTTTGAGTGTGTGCAAATTTGTGTTTAGTTGTAGTTAGTGGTCACACTGTTGTTTGATTTTAACCTTCTGAAAAGCGAGTAGTCATACGGCAACTATCTGATACTCGGGCTGGTAGTAGTCTTAATCGAAAGACATCCTTTTTTGACATCAACTGGCTACGTTTGCCTACTGCCTATGCAGCAATATAAACAGGAACAAATCCAGGACCTGGGAACTGGGATCCTACGGTGACTTTATCGTTAAGTAAAATGGAAAAGAAGTGGAGCTACCACACACAAAAATTTATTCCAGGGCATAACGTGATTTCAATAATCCCAGGACCATGTGTGAGACGTATGGAGTGGCACTACATCGTCTCCCCAAGTAACTAGTACAAAAGGGTGAACTATGCGAGTTTTTCAGGAAGAGCGTACATGGGCGTGGGTGTCGGGTACCACGGAGGCATTTTTCTGTGTCAAAAGACGCTGTGAGGATCTTTTCGTAGAAAGTGATGACAGCTTTGAACGACCTTGTACTCATGTCATTGTCAGTAGATTAATGTGGGGATAGCTACCTCCTTTGTCACCACGTTAACAACTTTGAGGAGAATTACCTATTAAAGTGGAGTAGAGAAAGCAACAAAAACGCTGAGTCGTTCCTCTCGGAGGAAGCGCTCACAAGACGGGTGAGTTGCGTGACGCTTTTTAGACGGATTACCATTTTTTTTTTACCTTTAAAATGAATTCTAAGGTATCATTTTTTTCGGTGAAAATGTGGTCGGAAGGGTCACTCCCTAGCTTATGTCAACATTTGTGTCTGTCCCTTCTGCCAGTTTTTCGTTATGTGAGGGAAGGATTTCTTTGTTTTGAAATTCTGCCAAAAGGCTCTCTGATCGTGAGTGGTTCAAAATCGTAATTACAGTTGTGATTGAATTGGAATCAACTCCATTGCATTGGCAAGGTCTTTTTTGTACCATGTTTTTTGAATTTCACCTAATTCAGGATAACAAGTTCATCCTCAAGGGCCGTTTGAAGCCACCAGCAGTCACCCGATGCTCACCGTAATGAGACAAAATATCGAGTCTCCCGATCAAAACTATTCAGAAGTGGATTACCTGTAGTTGGAAGGACCGAGGTTGGATTATATATTCTAATAGTGCATTTCAGAATGTTTGACATTTGACGTGCTTTGAAGTTTACTTCGTGGGTTTTTTTTTGCTGTTGGAACGGCAGCAAGAAATCGCTACATATCCGGACTTAAATAGAACTTACCCTATAGGGAAAGGTGTTTTTCACCCTTTCCCTGATTGGTCCCTGAAATGTCTAAAGTATGGGTTTTCTACTAGAATTTTTCTCATGCACACTTCTTGCTCGCAGGTGTTCTAGTGCAGTTAGAAACAGATAGGTGCTACTCCTGTTGCGTTGGGTAATTACTTTAAAGTTTAGATATTACACCGTGCACTTTTCTCTTTCCTTTTCCCGAACATCTGCCTCCTTGCCTAACTTTTCCCAACGGTCAAGTGTGGAAGATAGGTTGAGTCCCTGGGGGAGCTCATCTGATAGCTATAACCTACTATTAGTTCAGGTGGTTGAATGTTTTGTGCTGCTTCCGAAAGAGATTTGAAGGAGAAATGTAGAAGATGAAATGGTTTTGTTAATGACTGCAAATTAACGACATATTCAACCTCTTTTTAGAATCACAAGGACTCATGTATATGCCCAGTCCATACAAGAAAAGGCGAGAACTTAATGATCCCTGTCTTTTCGTGAATTCAGTACTAGTAATCTGAAATAGCTTTTAAGCATCCTAATGCGATACTGACGCTTTATTGTGCAAACATCCATCACATTTAATGCATGTCTCATTCAATGGCTGGAGAGTGCTGCGGGTGACATTTGAAGCGTGGGAAAAACTTATCCCGCGTATCCTGTATCGCTTGCACTTTCTTTTCCTCTTCATTTTCATCCTTTTTTTTCTCTTTATCTCTGGCTAGTCGCCCAGTGTCCTCAGTGTGGTCAAGCGTTACGAGTTTTGTTTTTGTAGTTCTTTAGTTGATCATGTAAAAGATAGGACCTAAAAAAAGGATTTTGCGTAAGAACTTCTGACAACATCGCGATCATTGTTCAGGCCTACCTCATAATTCTACTGAGGTCCGTAGCCGATCAGTCGAAACCTATATCTCCCAAATCGATCTTTGAGGTTGGTGCCTGATTTTTGAGAAGATGCTGATGATCTCATTTTGCTTTTCAAAATGCCTCAGAAATGCTGGTTTTCTATTGAGCGTTCTGACACCCTTTGATTTTTGGTGTAAGGATGTAGGCTTTGGGAATGTTTACTGATCAGTTCAGCTAAATTTGTTGCTTCGAAGTCGATAAGAACATGCCTCAATCTAGCGAATGCAGCTTTAGCCTACACT